CGCAGTGTGTAAATAATATACAGATGTCTGGAAGGTTGGTACCCCTCCTCAATGCATTTGCTTTCAAATATACAGGCTCAAACTCATTGCAAGCAGCTTCAAACGTGGATCTCGGGGGGGCTAGCATATATATATACATATTATAGTTTTAAATATAGTGTATGAATGTATGTATGTAATGTAATGTAATGTAATGTAATGTAATGTAATGTAATGTAATGTAATGTAATGTAATGTATGTATGTATATATATATATATTCATATATGTATATAGTTATATATATATATATATATATTATAGTTTTAAATATAGTGTATGTATGTATATAGTTATATATATATGTATATAGTTATATATATATGTATATAGTTATATATATATATATATTATAGATAAAGTACAAATATATCTCCATGTCTCCATGTGCTTAACATGGGAAACTTGTGGTCATCACCGGCCAGGCGATGAAACTCATGGGGTTGCAGGACTCGGCGCGATATCTGGCCGAAACCTGTCAGGTAGGGATGGAAAGGATGCTGTGATTTCACCATAGTGAAATATAACCCATTATAATATCATAGGGAATAATTTGGTGAGTATAACCTTTTTTTTTTTGGATTTCACCAACTAAATTTGAATTCACCTTGATTTTTTGAAACATTCGAAGTTTAGCTTTGTAACTGTCAGAAGGGCAGGAACCGCACTCCTTTGGCCCTCGGAAGACGGGCATCGCAGTTTTCCTTCCCCATGCAGGAAATCCCAGATAAAATACATCCTTGCCAGGGTGAAATAACAATAATTCTTCCACCATTCACAACAACATCAACCACATTATGTGAATGCCCATGGACCCAGGGATTCGACAAGCTTTGCCGGCCACGACTGCCGTCCTTTCCAGGTGCTCCCTCTCTTTATGTGGTATGGCCAGGATCCCAAGTGCTGTCAGTTGCCAGTTGATTGGCGGTATGGGATTAGTGGTTTGGGGCATAGCATTAGCGATCATGTTCTTGCTCTTTGTGCTATACAACGGGACATATGTATAACCAGCAGTATGATATTTAGGTTATTCAAGAACGGGGAAATTCACATAGATTTACTCAAGCTGGGAAGACGATGATAAACTGATAAACCATGACATTTTGGGGTAGCGTGTTTCCGACAAACAAAACCCCAATGTGGCTCCAAAATCACCGACCCCCAAAAACGATTCTCTTTCTATCAATAATGACATTCCTGATGCTGGACACCCAAAGGTCCCGAAACGTGGTCATATCAAACTGAATAGATGGTTGGAGGTGATATGTACAGTATCCCAGATTCTTCCATGATGTTGGGAACATGGAGAAAGACATCCCCTTTCTGCAGCCAGCTGTTCAAAGCCTTGCATGCCCCGCTTCGCTGATCTTGCCTTGCCAGTCGCTTTGGTGCTTTTGCAGTTGATCTGGTCGGGGATTTTCCAGCACTTACCATGGTCCGGTGAAGCTCCGAACAACCCACCAGACGACCAGACTGGGCTGAAGCCTGCCCCGGCTGCCACTGATACCCCTAAGGACAGGAAGGGAAGTGGCAATCAGGTTGCAGTGGTGAATGCTGTGAAGTGGCTGTCGTCAGATGGAACCAGCGCCACGACGGCTGCAACGGGTGACGGAACGGAGGTGCCTCTGTTTCCGCTGGGGGCCTTTTATCCCCCGCATTCCCGTCCCACGTTGAAGATCTTCGAGCCACGTTACCGCAAGTTGTACCAGGACCTGCTGGCGAGCGGCTCTGAGTCGTCGGAGTTTGCGGTCACGGCGGTGTCGGAGACGGGGCAGCTGGCGGCCTTTGGGGTCATTTTCAGGATCGACGAATTGAAAGATGTGGCTGAGGAAACTCAAAATCAGATTAAGTACTTAGGCAGACATACAGTGATGAGGCGTGTGCAGATTCGAGAGCTGGTGAATCCAGATGCCATGAGGGACACCAGCAGCTATTTGAAAGCCGTGGTTGTCCCAGTTGAAGATGACGCTGACAGCGACGAGGATTTTTCAGAGCTGGAGGCAGACACTATTGAATCTTTTAAAGATCTAATTTCATTATATCCCAATTTCAGGTTTCCCGACTTTGATGGTAAAGAGATCAACGCATCTCGTCAGAATGGGGGTCTATGGCATTTTGCAAGCCTTTGGATCGATGGCTATTGGGCCAACCGCGCGCTTGTCTCCCAGCAACAGCTTCTGTCGCAGATCCAGCAGATCACTGAGGACACGGACAGCGAAATTGGCACTTTAAAACAGCTATTAGACAGCGAGCTGCGCCGCGCCCAGCGCGAGCAGGTGACGCTGGGCCAGCAGCTGTTGCAGAGCCGGTCGCATCAGGAGAGGCTGAAACTGCTGCGCTCAGCCATTAAGATGGAGCGTTTGTTCGCTGCGGCAGATGACCCAGAACACCAGGGAGTGGCCTTTGTTGGCTGAAGAAAAGAGCGATTTGGATGGGGCCTACAGTGCCTACAGGTTCAACAGACCACCTGTGGCTTGGGGTAAAGTATCCCCCTGCAGTTTTCACCGGTTTTGACGTGAGTATCTTCAATTGTGCCCCCAAATAGGTGGGAGATGGTGAGAGTTCTCTGCATGACTTGGACAAGACTGGGATTACAATTCCGGCAGGCTTAAATGATATACCGTATACGTATATGTATATCGGGGTGCACTATAGCAAGGCTACATTTGGCTACGTCATCACATATACTCATCATGATATACATTGTAATACTTATATATATATATATCTAGGCGTTGCGATTACTGCTGGACTGGCTCAGGCCTCCAACTGTCCGTGGGTCTTGGCTTTGGAGTCTTCATCAGGTGCTGGCTTCGGGTCTGTAACATCTTGCAACCACCAGGGTTTGTCCAACACAAGGGATATTTACTGGGATATTTATGGGATAAGATATTTGTATATGGTTTGTATATGGTTTTCTATGGTTTTAAATTACATTTCAAAAAAATGGTTTATGTAATAGGGACAATCGATTGAGATGACAATGGGATATTAACAGACAATGGAATATACCCTCTGGTAATTTAACAATGGATTTTCCCATTGAAAATGGTGATTTTCCATAGTTATGTTAGTTTACCAGAGGGTACCATCCGGTCATCAAACGTGGCTAGCTGAAACATGTCCCGTATTTCGTTCGTTGATTTTCCCAGCAGGCCATGTAACTGATGACACCGGAGGGTATTGGGATAGGAGGATCTTCTATGGGTATTTTTTAGGGGACATTAATATGTATATTAGCAATATTTTAATATGTGGGTTTGTCTGACAAAAAGGTAATTTACCACCAAATGGCACTTTCGATGTGGAAGATGATGATGAACAACTGGATTTGAGTACTGTACCTTTTCAGAGAAATCCATTGGTGCGTATCCGCTGTTTTCTATCGATTTACTCTGAGTTTGAAATTGTATATTTACGGTCCAAATGGGGTAGGGGCGTGTGTAATCTAGCGTCATGGTTCAACGGTGCGACCGCCCTTTGCCGGGAGTGTTTTGATTGCCTCACTAAGTAGTCCTACCACTACTTCCTCAACAATGGTTTACAGTTTTTTGTTTCATATGGAAGCTTATAAAGGGATTGATAATTGATAAGGTCATTTTTGTTCGGATAGCCATGTTTGGTTCGTCCTGACCATGAACCGTGAGCATCTCGACCATCACACGCCAATCTTTAGCCCTTCGCGGCAGGTGCGACCCCATGTTATTGGCCTGCTTCATGAGTCTCGTCGGTCAGGGGCTGAGTCTTGACACGTTGAGCTCTGCTGTTCGACGGTACTCTATAGAGATGTATTACGCATTTTCTTGTTGTTCTCTGTCGAAATGTGGAAATTCGGAGCATTTTTTCTAATCTCAAGGTGCCGCCCACTTGATTTCAACACGGGACCTGCCATGGTCAGTGAAGTGAAGTGACTAACGACGTAACAGCTTGGTTTTGCGTCAGGCCTGTAGCCGCGGCTACATTTGCCAGGGAAATCCAAGGAACAAGGTACAGATTCCTTGGAGCTTGATTCGCTTTCTGATTCGGAGTTGCATTCAACATGCAGTGCATTCTTTGGGGGCAGGAAAAGCATGGCCGCGCAGCGAACACACAGGGAGCTTGCTCCCACATATGCTGCGGGGAAAGTCCCCGTGCCTTGGGGCAGAAAGTGCCACTGGGAGACCGGAAGACCTTGACTTTGGGGCTTACAGCGAAGCAAACGCAGAGTTGTGGTCCTGGTGTTTTGGTCCTTTGCAGCAGCAAAGTCATGCCATGAGCGTTTTCAAGAACGCCAACTGAACGGGGCTCACTCTTTCCATGCCCTCTTCCCAGACTTGGTTTGTATTTCTCTGCACAGATTGAGGAATGTGTGCAGGCACGTTTTCGAGCCTGAATTTGCAGAGCTGCTTTAGAGTTTAGAGATTGTTACTCAGAATGCTTGCGCAATTCCGGCAGCTGACAGACAGTACAATGTACAACTGGAGTAGGCATGCTGCAGAATACCATGGATTTGTTGGAACTTGATTTGCTTTCTGATTCGGAGTTGCATTCAACATGCAGTGCATTCTTTGGGGGCAGGAAAAGCATGGCCGCGCAGCGAACACACAGGGAGCTTGCTCCCACATATGCTGCGGGGAAAGTCCTCGTGCCTTGGGGCAGAAAGTGCCACTGGGAGACCGGAAGACCTTGACTTTGGGGCTTACAGCGAAGCAAACGCAGAGTTGTGGTCCTGGTGTTTTGGTCCTTTGCAGCAGCAAAGTCATGCCATGAGCGTTTTCAAGAACGCCAACTGAACGGGGCTCACTCTTTCCATGCCCTCTTCCCAGACTTGGTTTGTATTTCTCTGCACAGATTGAGGAATGTGTGCAGGCACGTTTTCGAGCCTGAATTTGCAGAGCTGCTTTAGAGTTTAGAGATTGTTACTCAGAATGCTTGCACAATTCCGGCAGCTGACAGACAGTACAATGTACAACTGGAGTAGGCATGCTGCAGAATACCATGGATTTGTTGGAACTTGATTTGCTTTCTGATTCGGAGTTGCATTCAACATGCAGTGCATTCTTTGGGGGCAGGAAAAGCATGGCCGCGCAGCGAACACACAGGGAGCTTGCTCCCACATATGCTGCGGGAAAGTCCTCGTGCCTTGGGGCAGAAAGTGCCACTGGGAGACCGGAAGACCTTGACTTTGGGGCTTACAGCGAAGCAAACGCAGAGTTGTGGTCCTGGTGTTTTGGTCCTTTGCAGCAGCAAAGTCATGCCATGAGCGTTTTCAAGAACGCCAACCGAACGGGGCTCACTCTTTCCATGCCCTCTTCTCAGACTTGGTTTGTATTTCTCTGCACAGATTGAGGAATGTGTGCAGGCACGTTTTCGAGCCTGAATTTGCAGAGCTGCTTCAGAGTTTAGAGATTGTTACTCAGAATGCTTGCGCAATTCCGGCAGCTGACAGACAGTACAATGTACAACTGGAGTAGGCATGCTGCAGAATACCATGGATTCGTTGGAACTTGATTTGCTTTCTGATTCGGAGTTGCATTCAACATGCAGTGCATTCTTTGGGGGCAGGAAAAGCATGGCCGCGCAGCGAACACACAGGGAGCTTGCTCCCACATATGCTGCGGGGAAAGTCCTCGTGCCTTGGGGCAGAAAGTGCCACTGGGAGACCGGAAGACCTTGACTTTGGGGCTTACAGCGAAGCAAACGCAGAGTTGTGGTCCTGGTGTTTTGGTCCTTTGCAGCAGCAAAGTCATGCCATGAGCGTTTTCAAGAACGCCAACTGAACGGGGCTCACTCTTTCCATGCCCTCTTCCCAGACTTGGTTTGTATTTCTCTGCACAGATTGAGGAATGTGTGCAGGCACGTTTTCGAGCCTGAATTTGCAGAGCTGCTTTAGAGTTTAGAGATTGTTACTCAGAATGCTTGCGCAATTCCGGCAGCTGACAGACAGTACAATGTACAACTGGAGTAGGCATGCTGCAGAATACCATGGATTTGTTGGAACTTGATTTGCTTTCTGATTCGGAGTTGCATTCAACATGCAGTGCATTCTTTGCGGGCAGGAAAAGCATGGCCGCGCAGCGAACACACAGGGAGCTTGCTCACACATATGCTGCGGGGAAAGTCCTCGTGCCTTGGGGCAGAAAGTGCCACTGGGAGACCGGAAGACCGTGACTTTGGGGCTTACAGCGAAGCAAACGCAGAGTTGTGGTCCTGGTGTTTTGGTCCTTTGCAGCAGCAAAGTCATGCCATGAGCGTTTTCAAGAACGCCAACTGAACGGGGCTCACTCTTTCCATGCCCTCTTCCCAGACTTGGTTTGTATTTCTCTGCACAGATTGAGGAATGTGTGCAGGCACGTTTTCGAGCCTGAATTTGCAGAGCTGCTTTAGAGTTTAGAGATTGTTACTCAGAATGCTTGCGCAATTCCGGCAGCTGACAGACAGTACAATGTACAACTGGAGTAGGCATGCTGCAGAATACCATGGATTTGTTGGAACTTGATTTGCTTTCTGATTCGGAGTTGCATTCAACATGCAGTGCATTCTTTGGGGGCAGGAAAAGCGTGGCCGCGCAGCGAACACACAGGGAGCTTGCTCGCACATGCTGCGGGGAAAGTCCTCGTGCCTTGGGGCAGAAAGTGCCACTGGGAGACCGGAAGACCTTGACTTTGGGGCTTACAGCGAAGCAAACGCAGAGTTGTGGTCCTGGTGTTTTGGTCCTTTGCAGCAGCAAAGTCATGCCATGAGCGTTTTCAAGAACGCCAACTGAACGGGGCTCACTCTTTCTATGCCCTCTTCCCAGATTTGGTTTGTATTTCTCTGCACAGATTGAGGAATGTGTGCAGGCACGTTTTCGAGCCTGAATTTGCAGAGCTGCTTCAGAGATTGTTACTCAGAATGCTTGCGCAATTCCGGCAGCTGACAGACAGTACAATGTACAACTGGAGTAGGCATGCTGCAGAATACCATGGATTTGTTGGAACTTGATTTGCTTTCTGATTCGGAGTTGCATTCAACATGCAGTGCATTCTTTGGGGGCAGGAAAAGCATGGCCGCGCAGCGAACACACAGGGAGCTTGCTCCCACATATGCTGCGGGAAAGTCCTCGTGCCTTGGGGCAGAAAGTGCCACTGGGAGACCGGAAGACCTTGACTTTGGGGCTTACAGCGAAGCAAACGCAGAGTTGTGGTCCTGGTGTTTTGGTCCTTTGCAGCAGCAAAGTCATGCCATGAGCGTTTTCAAGAACGCCAACTGAACGGGGCTCACTCTTTCCATGCCCCCGTCTTGCTCTTGCAGTGATTTCTCCATTGAGCTCTGACAGGTGACTTTCATTATCAAATTATCAACAAGGTTGGGCCATCCCAATCTGCTACTCATCACCAGCCGCTTCGAGGCAATTTTCGGTGGCAAGTCTCAGGGAAAAACGCGTAGCACTGGGTACTGAATCGGCTGGGCACATCTCCAACGAGGCTGAATCTCGACGCCTTGACGCTTGATGGTAATCTCATCCCCAGGTCTGTGAATATCCGAATATCCCCTAACAAGATCCAGTAAGGGAACCGAAAATGTGTAATTCCAGCTCTAAACGGGTTTCGTTTGAAGGGTATTTGACATTGTAGTTGGGGATGAATCAGAAGTGGTGTTAATCTAAAGGATAATAAACATTATTTTGCAAGAAACCCATGGAAACCCTAGGTTTTGATTTTTCCGTAAAATACGTGGGGCAATCAAAAATGCAATCTCTTGCTCGTGGACGACGTTTTGGCCGTTGGTTCAATTTTTGGAGTTGATGAGTCAGAGGCAGGCAGTCCAATTTTTAGGGGTCACATTGCCAATCCAATAGACTTTCGATCGAGAATGAGTAACTATCTACATCCAAAAAGGATGTCTCAAAGCATAACCCTTCCGGTTTTGTTTTTTTGACCTGTGACCCTTGCTCGTTTGATTGGTGGTTTTGAACTGCCAGAAAATTATATTAATGGGATCATCAATGAGATTTGTGTTGTTGCATATGCGTGCATGGCAAATTTTTCCATTGGTCCCTCGGCGAAGATGTCACTCAACTACATGATTTTAATAGCTACAAACTTAGGGAAAATGATGATCCCTTTCCGGACGTCCCAGAATAGGTTGAGGGGAATTGATGGTCAGTCTACAAACACCATGATTTCCGAAGATTTTCCCCAGGATTAATCCTGTGACTTTGGGGGGCGCTGGGCCGCTGGGGTTCAGTTGCGTGACCAGGTCTTTCCTTTGGTTCCGCTGCGCTGGGGGCCCTGCTTGCGGGAGGTGTTAGCAGAATGTTTGGACGGTGGGGTAGCCTTTGGATCGTTGAACTGAGGATCCATTGTTAAATACGTCTATGTATTGTCTATCTGAATATTGCGAAAACGGGTATCCTTGGAATTACTTTATAGTTTCCGTAGTTGTTGTGTTGGTTGATTGTGGATCCTAGTGAGTTCAATGCCCAGTTTAGGTTTGCTTGGGGGTCAAAAATCGAATCTTAATGGTAGTGGTAGTTTATGGATAGATACTCTCAGAACCTCCCAGCAACCTCCGAGTGATCAATTGATCCCCTACCATTCGCGCAAGTCTCGCAATGGGTCGACTCGAGGCTATGCTTCTCAGCCCTGTTCGAGTCAGTCAGGGGGACCAAGGTTTGTAGCTTTCGTCAGGATGCTGGGGAGAAGCATACTTGCCATGGGGATAAACAAGGATGCGACTATGGGTGTGTCTGAAAATCGTGTACAATTCCAATTTAGGTTACAGATGGTTACAGTATTTTATGTAATTTTCATAGTGAAAATGAACATATGTGCCGTTATACACCATCATAAACCATGTTTTTTTTTTGTACCGGACGAACCAAATGTAAACAAACATGGGCATGCAACCGACATTAACCAACAAGAGTCGGGGTATGACCACCATTTGGGGACATGACCTGCAAACTCGGGATTTCCAATCGACAAGCATGTCGGTGCAAGCAAGACTCATGGACAACATTGGGGACGTGGCTCGGATGTTCCGGCATCTTCCGGCGGTTTTTCTTAGGCGAAGGGGGCATCTCTGGCAACGATGGTCAGTATGGGGCCCAGCTGACCCCAATAGGTGGATCAAGAGCGAAATGATGAGGTGTCGGTAGGACTCTTACCGCAACCTCACTTGAGGCGATGGGAAACTGGCACACTCCAAAACAAACATAAGCAAAAAACGGGTTTGTCCGAAAGTAGGGTAACCCCAAATTCGATGGTTGATCCTCATTTTCCTTTAAGAATTGCCACAGTTTGGGGTGTGAATCAAACGCTATCCATGTCCCATCCAAGTGCCTCCAGGTTCCAACTGTGGTATCTGAGGCATGTTTGGAGTCAGCCGGATGCCACTGGAGCAGGCGCCCTGCTTGGCAAGTCCTTGTTAGCTCATGTTGGTTCCATCTGATCCGATCGTAATATTAGATAATGGAGGAAACCCATTTGCCCAGCATAAAAACCCCTTGTTGGACAATGTTGGGCACAGCTTTAGAATGTTTTTAAGACCTTCCAAGGCAAGAAGTCATTTGGTACCCTCTGGTAAATTAACATAGCTATTGAAAATGACCATTTATGGTGGATTTACCCATTGAAAATGGTGATTTTCCATGGTCATGTTAGTTTACCAGAGGGTACATGTTATGGTGATCGCCATGGCTTCCCAGGCGTTTGGTCTCCTACTCCCCCCTGTGGCCTTGGTGCGAGGCTGGGGGGTTACTTTTTCCATCTTTTTCCGAAGACGTTGGCCTCAGTCGAGCTTTGATCTGGTACAAGGTGGAACCTTATTAAAGATATGGGTATGGGTCAATACCTATTAATACCATTTTTAGGGGAATGAACATCCATTTACCAGCTATTTTGATGTTCACCAGGGGTACAAGGTTTTGACACACTGCCATATGTAAAGATCTTTCTTGTGTCTGTGGGCTATTTTGGGGAGTGGCTTTTCACAAGCGAGTCTCAGCTGATGATTATTTGCGACGAGGTTTCAGAACTCACAACTATCTGCCGGGGGAAGCTATGCTGATTTTCTCTCTGATGCAACCATCTTTCTCCATTCTTATAGAGTACTCCGGCTGGTGTTCATTCCAATGCGCTTAAACGCTTCAGAGCTGGTCTATCATGAGACCCCTCCCTGAAAACATTTTTTTTTTCCCGAAGGGCTTGTCAGGGGTCCTTATTTCAGGCTGGTCAAAATGCTTCCAGGCCTCATGCAACTCATCGATCTGGAGCTCGCTGGACCAGGTGCCCTTAATTTGCTCACACAAATTGTAGGAATGTTTGATAATATTTGACAATATTATTTGATAATATTTGTATGATATGTATGTATTGGCCAGCTGCTGGTTCAGATTGTTCAGGATTTTGGCCAGCTCCATCAAATCAGTGTTGAGTTGTTAGATGTGGAAAGTAATCAGATGTTTTCTTTTGCTTTGCAGCTGCAGGTTTGCAGTGGTCCAACCTGTGGCACGGACAAAATTCTTCCAACTCTTTAGGGGAGGTGCCGTGATGAAACAGTGAGCTGGGTGACATGGGTGTGTCCAAAAATCATGAGTGACTTAGCGCTCAACGCCATGTTCGAAAGGAAGAAGTTGGTTTGTGTTGTTTTGAGATTTTTCGATCTTGGATATTTTATTCAGACTCATCCGGAGAATCTTTGAAGATCTTTGAACCCACTCTGAAGTTGCAGTGCATCCTTCGCATGGTTTCCATTGGTCGCTGAAGTCCTTTGTGCCAATGAAACACTAGAAACATGTGCAGAGAAGAGCACTTTACTAAGCAGCAGGCTTCAACTTTAACAGTCAGCAGTCGACGGTCGCAGCCTTCCGATTCCTCAATTTTGCGGTCGCCAAAGAATTTCAACATATTTCAACAAGGTATGCCCCCAACCCATCCCAACCCACCATTTCTCCTGGGGGATTCTAGGTCTGGGATTCTCTGGCTTTTTGGTTTAGCCAGTTTTGGTCCCAGATGATGACGGCGCAACTCCTGGCGGTGCCCTGCTCCTTGTTCCTCTGGAGATATTTGGAGCAGGCGATCACCTCACCTGGGTGAGGAAAACCACATCCTCCGTTCATATTAAACAGCCCTATTCTATGGTCCCAAATATGTGTCAATCCCCTACTAGACCATGGTTTCTCGGGGGTGTTTAGCCCTCATATTAGGGGGGATTACAGATGATTACAGTGCGTTTATGGTATCCTTCGCCAGTTACTACTGAGGTGTTTGTCACAGTGAGTGACACCTGCACGGACCAACCACTACCATAAGCAGTTTGCATCAACTGCTTATTGAATCTTATTGGCATCTATTGCACATGGTGGCAAGGAACAAGGGAACAAGGGATTTTTCTGGGTGATTGGCAGTGAGCCGTTCCAGAAGCATACCCTGATCTTCATTGGTGGCTATGAGTCAAAACCCTGGGACCCAAACTGTACCTAAAATAGCTGGCTAATGGATGTTGATTGCCACAAATATGGTAATAATAGGTTTTGACCCATCCCCTGGTTTAGTAGAATTCACAGATTTATTGTTTCAATGTCCCATATCCAACTGAATAACTGGTGTACCTATCGTGTCTTCCTTTGCCAGGTGGTGCCACGGGACTATGGCAGCCGTGCAGGTCGGCGATGAAGATATTCCTGGCTCTTTTCAATGCGACATTTGATGCCTTTTTCACCACCCAAACATCACGACCAACGGATCTATTTACTTTCACATCTTTCACTCGAAAAACAAAAAGATCCAAAAAGATCGAAACTCATCGACGTGTCGATCATTGGTCAATTCCAGCCAGATACTTGTCGATGACATCCCACAACAGGCCGTGCCCGGACCGCTGCTGCAGTGCCCAGCGAAGTTGTGACAAGACGCCGGGCACAGGGCAAGATCGCTGAGGCCACATGGCAGTGGAGGGGAGAGAACTGCAGAGAAAACATGAGAAAACCCTGGGCAGTGATGAGTATTTGTTGCCTGAAGACACATGCGAAGACAGACCATGTTGGAGATCTAAAGTAGGATAACTTGGATGAAATTGGGATTTAACATGATCTATATAACTGGCTTTACAGTAACCATCAAACACGAAGGGGTTGACAAAACACGAGGAGATTGATTTGATCTGCTACAAGGTTCAAACATGGGAATTAAACATCAGCATGAACGGGGATCATCAAACAAAACATGGGAAACTCATCAGCAAAAATAGGCACGTACTTTCTGGTATATAATCTCTGGGCAGGGGTCCCAACCTATGAGTGATCAACATCTATCTAATTTTAATCGCCAGAATGCATGTATTGGGGTCATCGGAAAAAGTTGGATTCTAACCATCAGCAAGTGGGCTAGGAGTCGGAAGACAGGCTGATGTAGATAACTACATGCTACATATGGTTAACATTATATATACACACTTTTCATTTATAACTTATGTTTAATGTATAAATTCATTGATTGTAGGAACACAGTGGTCACCGGGTTGATTTGAGAGAAATCTGAGAGCAACAAGACCGTTTTTCAACAATCCAAATGGGGTTCCCTGTAACATTTCCTTGCGGAATCAAACAGCATAAGAACAAGTCGTTCCACATGTCATGCATATTTGGATTCTTTGGACAACCAAAATACTATTTTACTACCTACATGTAACATTTGTGTGGGGATACAATACAATCTGCAGGAAGCTGTGTGAGCCGGTTCAGGAGACCCTTCCAGTTGCTTGCACCGTGGAATTGCAGAATGTCCGCAAGGAGCAGACAGTCCTGCGTTTGCGACAGCTATGAGAGAGTGAAGTGGTGGTCTTCGCTTCGCACCTTGGAACCTGTAATTTTCAAATTTTCTACAGGGATTTCACCTGGAAACATGAGGATTTCGCTCCATTTTGAGATCAACTATATATACAGATCAAAATCTTGCATTTGTTCGGTCAAAACTGGGGACTTTGTAGTTGCAGTGGCTTGCAGGAGTTTCTCATCGGTGGGAGGCGGCCAAACAGGCGCTGTTCAAGACTGATGTCCAACTCTCGGAGTAACATGGACTGTTGTGTTTCTTCTTATTCGCGATATCGATAAACATCAATGAACAAGACGGTCAAGACGATATAATACAACAATTTCATGCTATCAATTTATCAATGGTTATTTTGATCCAGGTGTCCACCATTTGTGCTATTTTGCCCAGTCATTTTTGGAGATCCACGAAGAGGTTTGGTGCGAATTTCAGGCGGGTTGTGGCGGTGAAACGATTGGACTTGGGCTTGGCAGAAGGCCAGCGCTGGGTGTTTGCCTGGCAGTGGTGATTTATGATCTGGGCAGTTCTTTGGCCATTTAAACATGGCCATTAAAAATGGGGAATGCAACAGTAGTTATATATAAGTGTATATATATATATAGGTAGATGATATATAAACTATATATATATATATGTACACTGTATATACTGTATATACTGTATATACTGTATATACTGTATATACTGTATATAGTATTTATATAGTGATGATGCGAAAACGTATTTGTTGAGAAGAGCACTATAGTAATAGAGGTGATGATATAGTGATACATCTAATGTTAATCTCAATTATAGTGATATGTTACAGTGTACATTTGATGGTGGCCCAATTTTGGGAAACGTCCATCTGGAGATGCCGAAGAACTGAGTTCTGTCCCTGTGTGAAGAACTTGGAAAGGAGAGATCTTGGCCTTGCTCGGCCACAATGGGGCCGGGAAGTCCGGGGCTGAAGCCGCTTCGCTACGGAAATCTGTCGGTCGTGTGCCAGTGAAAAGCCTTCAATCGATTTTTGGAAAATTGAGCCCAAATTGGAAAGGAAGTGAGGCCTGATCTTCTCAAATCCTTTTGGAGTTTTTGGTTCGGCAAACTGAGCTGAGGTCTACCACAGTGTCGATGCTTACAGGGGTTCTGCCTCCCACAGAGGCAAGTGAAAGAAGTGCGTGAACGTGCTGATGTGGACGAACCAATCCGAAGGTTTCAGATGATACTAGTCATTTCGAGTCACAATCCATGCATGTCTTTAGGCAATTGCAAATCAGATGTTCTCTTGTGTCGGCAAACCTCAGCATAAAAGTGGCCACGTGCTGACAGCAAAGACAGACTCTGCCAGGGCCGAGTGATCATTCATGGCTACGACGTTGGGTCTCTGAGCACAAGTGCAGCTTCATTTTTTTCTTCAGGATTATGTTGGCATATCCCATTGTAGCCTCTGGTAAATTAACAGTTCGACCCTGGCAGTCATCGGGGTTGGAAGACTAGTTTCCATGATAAAAACGGGGTGATTTTCAGGGTCCAACTGTTTATTTGCCAGAGGATATATATAGGTTATATCCCAAAAATGGGGTGATTTTCAGGGTCCAACTGTTTATTTACCAGAGGATATATATAGGTTATATCCCATTATACCATAAGCCCATTACCTGGTAGACACCATCCTATCCCCCATGAGGATCCCGAAATCCCATCACTGTGGATCCTATGGAGAGTTTCATCAGGTGGCTCAGCATCCCGAAGAAGCGCGACGCTTCCTGGGGGTATGCCCACAGCATGCCCGAGGGCCCAGAGTTGTCCCAGAGTTGTCCAAGAACCAGAGGGGATGCCATTTTATGCCATTTTATGCCATTTTATGGTCTTGGAATGTCTTGGAGACATCAGGGGGAAGCCGGTGCTTTTCTGAGTGTAGCCATGGACTTTCGCTTAAAGTTTTGGCAGCAACTTTTGGGCTGCCAAAATTCTTGAATGGCTCCTGATATGAATTCGGAAGGATGGCTTTTCTTTGCCACCTTTTTGGGTCAAAGATTTGCACATACAAAGCTGGCAGATTTGCAAGTGACACTTTGCTTATAGACAGCCACATTCATGCTGTTTTGCTTTGAAACCACGGGTATGTGATTATCGTCTCTATTACAATATCCAAATACCATATATTCCATTGGCAGTGCGGTTTTTCGGTGGATCCAGGGAGAGTCAATTTTTTCAGTGTGAGGAAATAAGACCAGGGTAGTTCTCCAATCAGAATCAGCTTCGGCCGGAAGCCGTTTTTTCAGGACATTCTCTTCGACTTCCTCAGTGCTGACGATCACCTCCGCTCGGAGTCCTAACGCGCACTGTTGGGCACGAATTTCCAGTGTTGGAAACAGAGCAGCGTCCGAAAAAGGACGGTGAGCGCAGGAAGAAAGACACTGCATTATGGGACTTGTCAATTGGCAGTTGCCCAGCAGTGGGACTGTTTGTTTGGAAAAGTGGTTTGGGAAAGCCAAATATAGATAAAGATACTGTACAATTGTATATATGTATATTAAACATTGATACACAACTCAACTGGAAACTCGAAAATCTGCGTCCCGCGATGTGGTAAACCAAAGAGACATAACCATCCTAATAACCATCCTAATTTTTACCAGAACTAGCTTGTATAATTCATCATCAATTGGAGGTTTATGGCATTTGGGTTTGCCACATTCGTAACTTTCCTATTGCAATTTCATATATACATAGTGACTGCTTCAAACTGCAAATCACCATTTCGCTGGTTATATACAAGTTTTAAACCTCAAGTTTTGCTGGTTAAACCCAAGATGTTTGATGGTTTTTGTTGGTGAAATCCAACAAATCCATGGGTTTTCTGCCACTTTTCTTCCTTCCCCGGAGGTTTGGCTGCCAGCTTGCGCGGAGTTCAGGGCGGCGGATCAGCGCAGGATCTCCTGCGAGCTGTGGGGCTCTTGGGGCACTTGCTAGGCCGGGAGGGCCGGGAGGGGTGGCGGTGGGGGACTTTTATACCAGGGGCAGGAGAAGTTATAGTTGCAAAACCATGCATTTCTGTGGATTTATTGTGAGACATATGGTATACGCAACCATGTGATATTTGGGGTTGTCCGAAAATGGGGTATTTTCATGTCCATTTTGATCTCCATATATCAATATTCCTGGGAAAACTGTTTGAAAGATATGATATGACGATCAAATCTGATCAAACATATCATCAAACCGGGGGTCAAAGTCATTGATCCATATTGATCCGCCAAGTCGTGGATGATTTTTATAGGCCGAATAAAAACCTAAATTCTTCGTCGGCCCGTTGGTACCCCAACTTCAACTCATACCCAAATAAGAGCGGTTCCCTGTAACAGGCGCGGTGCTCCGAAGAAATTAGCTGGAATCACTAGATATCCCGCATTTGGTGGAAGTGAACATTGACAGGACATCTGCATCAACTCGTTTTTCAACATGGTTTCTTGTCTTTTTTCAAATCGATGGATACTTCAATGCTTCACCACTAGCGTCAGGCGCTCCCGCAGGGCAGCTCTCTTCTGGCAGAAGGCGTGCCAAATTTGGAGTCCAGGAGTAGAGCTTAATCCCCTTGGATGGATGACTCTACGTGATGTCCAAAATTGGCTCTACGTGATCTACCCTCTGGTAATTTGTTACATAGCTATTAAAAATGGTGATTTATAGTGGATTCACCCATTGAAAATGGTGGATCTTTCCATAGTTATGTTAATTTACCAGAGGGTATGATGGAAGGCAATTTTCTGTAACGGATTCAACCTGAAGAGTTCAACTTTCTGTAAAAAAATGGCAGTTTTCTTTTATGGATAATTTAAATAGTACTTGCCAATGAAGTTGTGTTTCTCGCTGACTGATGCTGACTGGGTCCAGTGTAAAAAATATAGGTTTGCTTTGCAATGAATAAATAGTACCGCTTAAGTATGTGTACCTTTTTAAGTTCTGCAACTCAACATTTTAGGCAGGTCTTCCGAACCACTTCGCGATGCTTTTTTTAGGCGTGCCCTGTGCGTGGCCCTGGCATTTGTCGGCAGGGTGCTCAGAGACAAACAATGGAGCCACTTGGAGGTCTGTCTCACGGTGGAATCAGGTGATCCCCGCTTCATTTTGCTGGACGAACCTACCTCAGGGATGGATCCCTATGTGAGGCTATGAAGGGCTGGGAAGTAAGTGATGTAACTGGCTGGGTGTGTTAAGAAATGGGATATTGACTCGAAATTTATGGCAATTTCAATTGGAGACATGGTGATAAACGATGGGAATTCGGAGCTTATTTTCAGACAAAGCAAATGTGAAAATCGCAGTTTCGATGTCAAACGTGCATTTCTATTGCTTATGATAATCCTAAACGTTACAGGCATTGCAACCATTGCAGACATTTAGACAGACATGTGACCGTCCCTGTTTGGCCTCAAGGCATAGGACGATGTGATGCCATTCACCGCATGAAAATGGGACTCTCCTTGTTCAGCTCTTCATCTATTCTTGAGACGGCTCGTGAGCGTTCCAATGAGTTCCCAAAGGTCGGGGTGGGTGCATTTCAATTTCTGGGTTTCTGTCAGGTTCCCCACCGTCGCCATTCGTCCAACTTCGGGTATGACCTAAATGATGCTTCAGGAGAAGCATGTGGGAGTTGCTGAAGAAGTACCGCCCGGGGCGCGCGTGACTTGGTGACACCAAGGGTGGCACCAAGGGTGGCACCAAGCCTTGAGTCATCTTGAAGGGGGGGGGGAAGTGGGAAGATGGCAATTGATCTTGTTATGTTGTTTTTGCATGTTTTCGCTCCAAATTTCAAAGTAGGTTTGTCCACAAGTGGGGGATACTCATTTGTATGGTGATAGACAAGGGGAAAATTATGATAAACTATGAGACTTTTAGGGGTTTACTACAATTTTTAGACAAATCACGTCGTCACCTCTCTGAATGGCAGATTCAAACGTCACGATGCGGACACTGAGGTTATGCCTCAGCACTCACTATATGGATGAGGTGCCAGTGGGTTGGAGTAACTGCACATCGGGACTGAAGGTTGTTGCAGGAATTTGTTGTTCCAATCCGAATGCCCCAAGCAATTTATTGTAGAACAGTCATAATGTCCCAAAGTTGTTTGTAGGCAAGATTTGGTTGCAGGCAGAAATGCTTGGAGATCACGTGTGCATCTTGTCTCGTGGGACGCTGCAATGTGGGGTCCTTGGTGTTTGCTGCTTGGAGCCACCTGAAAACTTGGACTATTCATACAGAGCAGACTTCGCCTTGAAGTAGATTTTTCAGGTCAAACGGAAACTTAAAATGTATAGACTGTATAAATTAATAGATGATCCGTCTATTCCAAATATATATATAGATATATAATGTATATACATGTAGATAAACACATTAAACACATTATATGTAAATCATATATATATATACACACACTGTATATACATGTATATAAACACATTATATGCAAATCACACACATATATATATATACACATTATACACACTATGTGTATAAGTACGGAATTATATATATGCATATACATATACATCTGTACCTCATATGTAGATATCCCCACAACACGTGGATCGCGGCCCAGGCTATGGATCGCCGGAATGGCTCAAGGCGCGCCTGGGCAGCGGCTATGCCTTGACGCTCAGCGCCACGCAGGCGGGAGAACTTCGGCGTTTAGTTAAGGTGTCCCCAGAAAGGTGGGAAAAAAGGGTGGCTAGGAAATATGGCATCCCTAAAATTGTGATAGTTTGGTTGAATGTATCCTAAATTGATCTAAATTGATAGATTGATAGATTGACGGACTGTGAATGACTTGACTTTTTGCATTCTTTTTGGATGCAATAATCCCTTCCCCCTACTACTAAACGTACCCCAGATATTAAAAACTACGGTCAATTTCCAATTTTGGGAAATTTCAGCTTGGTCAATTTGATTTTTAATTGATCCCCTTTAGAAAACAATTTGAAAGTGACGGTCCCATTTGAGGGTTTCACCCTCTAATAATAAAACTAGTCAACACCGGGGTGTTTTTTATTGGGGTCCATCCTTTAATACATATATATATATTTATTTTAATATTGGAGGAAAGCTTTGAAATCCATTTTTTGGCAATGTTTTAACTAGTTTCTTAAAACGAATTTCATCGATTTTGAAATAATTATTACTTAGGAATCAACTTTCATCACGTTTTTTGTTTCTCTCTCTCTCTCTCTCTCGGTTTTTTGTTGATAGTGAAAGTGACAGTGACACTTTTCCCAAAGCCATTGTTTGGGTTGTTCCCCACATCTCACCCGCTCCTCAGGCCACGCGGACGTTGCAGGTGGCAAAGACGGCCCTGGCCACTTGGAGTAAGCTCATTTTTTGGGGGAAATTCAGCGAAAATGGGACTGAATGGAGTTTTCATGATATGTCTTATGATACTTTATGGATATGATATATGATTTTTACATGATATAACCAGCAAGTTGATAAATTATGGTCTGAAAATGTGGGATTCACCCCCAGTCGATGGCAACTTTTTTGTGGGGAAAAATTGAGGTTTTAAACCAGGGGATGGGATGGGGTACATGATTTTCAGAGAAAGCCATTTGTTCCTTTTGGATCCTTTGGGAGAAATTGATGAATTGATGAAGAAATTGATAAACACTGAAGAGTCATGAATTCATTTCTTCGGGATTCCATTGAGCAAGACCTCAGAGGGGTACGGATCAAACTTATCAAATTTAATGTCCCAAAACTTTGGTCCGGGGTTACATTTTTCCTCCAAGGACCTCTTGCAGAGGAACGCGCTTGGATCCTGGTGCGTGGTGGTCTAAATTGACATTTCGAGTCACCAGTTTGACAGATGGGCATAGCTCCACATTATTAACCCTGCCTATCTTGGGATGGTGACGTATTGTATGACATCTTATGATGTTCTATGGCCACATTTGTTTGAACAAAATCCACTTCTGCCACAGGTCAAAAGATCTCCGATCTCAGATGGTGGTGACACGCTGTGAAGGAAGTGAGGCCGAGTAGGGAAAAATCGGGAAGGCACACGTCAGATCTCCCAAGGCTTGGGCCATGGCGTGGCATTCTCAGTGTCAACGTGATGCTTCTTACACCATCCATCGCCTGGCACAAGAACACATGGGCTCACATAGAGAACAGTGCAATATGTGGCCGTAGTTTGACACGATGTCATGTCACCAGCAGGAATTCATCGGATTTTGCAGATCCACTTCTCGGAATGAATTCATTCACATCTACTTCTCTATCATGAGCTTTATAATCTTTATAGTTGCAGAAGCTATGGAGTAGCCCCCCTGTACAGTCGCTGAAAGTTGAAGTTCACCTCATCAGCCGACAGCAACTTCACAACAGTCGCTTTTCAGCAGTGTAGCTTGGCCGCTGTCATGGCTTTGGCAGTGGCCCCTGAGGGCTACCGCAGTGGTTCTCGCTCACCCCGCGGCAAAAGCGATGCTACCATCCATGTTGGCCTTGATGGGTGCGCTGCAAATCCCGAGGAGGTGTTGCGGGGAGGCTTCACAGAGGAGATGAAGATGCAGCGAGACTTCCTCGAACAGTTCATGAAGCCGCAACTGGTTTGTGCTTTCATTTTTTTTGCATATGTTTATCTCCTTTCATATTCCATCCCTATAAAAATGAGTAAACGTTTGGGCTGATGACCTCTGCATTTCACACTTTCTTGGGGTCTTGAAAGCCAACGTTCAGGCAGTGTGTGGGCCCTCCGACACAGCTCCCGGAAGCTGCTGCCGGGCTACCCTTGGAGGCCGCCGAGGTGCTGCTGTTGCAGCCGGGTCCTGGCCCAGCCCGGCCCTGGTGCGGCAGGTCTGCAGCAGTCGCCTGCCTGGCGGCAACGCAGCGGCTGTTCGCGCGGCTGCTGCCGGGGCAGGTCTCGGAGGGGGCTTGTGATGAGGTTTGCCAGCTGCCGTCAGAGGGGGCCGAGCTGGGCACCGCGCAGTTCATGGAACTGGCGCAACGATGCGGCCTGGCTGCAGAAAAAGTCTGTTCGCCTGTGGAAGTGTTGGATGAGATGTTGAAGAGTCGCTTGTCGGCTTGTTGTGTACTGCTGGAGTCCTATGTGGGAGTTTTGGAAGAGGCAGGCGAAGAAGTCGAGCAGGATGTGGGATTCCACTGCCTGCTGATCGTTGGTGGAGACCTCCTGGGCCCCACTTATGTGACTTTCGATCCCTGGGGACCTGCTGCTGGAGAGGTTTCCCTATGGCAGGACCACGCCCTGAAATCGGCAAAGCCCGTGGGTTATGTGCAGCTGACAGTGCCACAAGCCTAGCGGGGAGAAAAGGGCACGTGCCGTCACCACGTGCCAAGGCTTAAACCTGGAGTTCATAGGGATGTATCATATTCACTTCATGAAATGACCATTGTCAGGCACAAATCAGATGTTCAGCTGCAAGATCACTTCAAGTGTGGATTTCGCGGAAAAAAGTTGACACAGGCGGTACTGCGGGTGCCCTTTGCAGTGGGCAGCAGCTTCCCTGAGTTGCTTGGCAGGAGATTCTTTGCAGCTAATTTCCTCCAGCAATGATATTTGCTCACTATGATGGACACCCAAGAGCCCCATCCATCATGCAGTTTCACCATTTTTCTTCCGTTGAATTGGTTTGAGGCTGAGATTCCTGGAATCTTTTGGATAGCTGCAATTCTTCTGCCCCCTCAGGCTGCTGCGCGTCCTCGAGAGTGCGGGGTCTCATTGGTGCTGGCGAATTCGTTGGATTTGGGATCACCTGCGAATAAGCTGCAAAACAGGTGTTGTAGCCAACATAAAAACCTCTGAAACTTTGTCAGATTCTTTCATGGATTCAGCTAAGGTGTGACATTCCCTAGTGAAGGTCTAAGGGTATGTGTGGCTATGTTTCATGAAAAAACCATTTGAATGTATCAATGTGACTTGTGTAGAGGGCTGCAACCGCCCTTTGATCTGTGAAAGTTTTGCCGGTCTAAGGCCAGAAGACTCTTCTCGGCTTCTCCTCGCTGAGTGTGAGCGTGGCTTGGAAGAAAACTGGACGAGAGTCGTTGGGTTGGAAGCAGGCCACGAAGAAGCGGGTCTCAAGGGTGACAACTAGATCCCCACACAATATTTGATCATTTTTCAGAATAATCTTGGAACAAACTTCCCATTTTGAAAAACCACTGAGCATTTTGGATCTATTCCCAAGCATTCCCAAGCACTAGCACTCTGATTTTTCGTATCAGGCAACCACCCTCGAGGAGCTCTTCCTATCTTTGGCAGATGGAGAGGAGGCAGGCTTAATGGGCTCACCATGGCTTACCGATTGAGGTAGGACTCCGGTAGGACAGCTTATTATGTCCCGGATTTGTTCAACTCCTTTGATGAATTGCAAGAGGGGCCGCACCCGCCAAATCATGCCATCAATCGTATTCAAATATATGACTACTACTGGTATCAAACATCGGTGGTTAGTAATTACTGAGGGTTTATGAATCCCAGTTGAGCATTACTTAGCACTACTTGGTACGTGGTCCAAGGCGGGCGAGCCCAAATCTCTGTCCCCCAAGAAGGCCGGGCTCGGCAGGAAATCGATTGGCTTTCGGTCAATTGAGGGTTGCTGACTTCAAATGGCTTTGTCGACAGAGCCTAAACATGGTGTACCCCACAATTCAATGATTAGACATCATGCTACTAGGATCTACTAGGGGTATCATTTTCCCCATTTGCAGACACCCAATTGAAAGCTGTGAAAATTGTGCACCTAAGGTGGGATAAGGTGGCGCAGTTTTCAACTCATCGATCATTTCTTATGGAAGAATCTCAATGGTGACTTGGGGCAGCCCAATTTTCAGAAACATCCAAATGGTATACTTCCAGGGGAACTTTGTCACTAAATGACAGGAGAAACAATGATCAATGGGAATTTCAGGATCCTAAAATGGAGGTACTGTACCATATAAGGCCATATTTTGGGGGATATTCCCTTACATAGGCCTTACATAGGCCTTATATATGGTAGGTACCTCCAATTTAGGTTCCTGGAATGGCCATTGAAATGATAAAAACATGGCCATGGATTTTTTTATTTCCTCATAATTGATCGAACCTCCCCATTGAAGGATGTTTTCCTTGCATGTTCCCTCTTAAACATGCCGCACTGATACATCAACAGGACACTCCATTATTTGGTACTGACCACCACAGGAAAAAAAGGCAAGTTGTTGTGACCCTGGCAACGGGCAAATCAAATTATTAGGGACAACTCACTTCTAGGTCTGCGGGTCCAACGTTTCTATCCAATTTTCTAGGCAAATTTCGCTACAGCTGGTTTGTGTCGGACCATAATCTGAGATGTGTCATGCCAAATGATATTCCATCTATTGAGCGCGAAGAACTTATTTATTTTGTAATATGTTGGAACTAGTGTCTCATGAATTACCACCCCCAACTATTTTGTTGGTGCTTTTAATAATACAGTAGTATCATCTTTTACTTTCAACCATAGAACTGGGATGATCCCCATTGACGAGCATATTTTTCAGCGGGGGTGGCTCAACCACTGAACCACCATAACTAGCCAACATTTCTTTTGGCTACACTCCCCCTGTCCCTCGCGGATTTCGATCCGCAGACTCCGCTGAGTGGTGCCTCCTCACCCGAAAAAGTGGAGATGCCCGGAGGTTTGGACGAACAGGTGGACTGGCGGAGTTGGAGAGTCAACGTGTAGAAACCTTTGAACCACCAAAATGGTGGTATCATGGGGATGTAATCGGATATAATGGGGATGTATGACAGGAGACCATGTATTTGTTTTGTTTGGATCGAACCATGTATACTTTGGGGATTTTTTTGCGAAGATGTTTGCGTGTGTTCTCCGGTTCTCGGCTTCTGGTCAGTGAGGAAATTATCTCCACAGCATCCTGTTGGACCGCTGGGTAGGCAAAATTTGATGAACTTTATATATTACAAGCTCCCCAACAGGAAGATCCATTTCCTATATATATTATATTATATATATGACAATTTCTATGATATTTCAAGATATTTCATGGATGTTGGATATCTGAGGGATCGCTGCAGGCTGCGAGTCAAATGGCTGCTGCGATGGCTGATCTGGAGAGATCCAAGCCCAGTAAGGCTGGACGGCTGGAGCTAGTAAACAAAAAGGGAATATGCTTTAATATTTGTAGGTTTGTGTAAACTAAAGGGTACGGCTGGGTAAATCTTAGATTTTGGATCATGTTGATGAATTGATCTGTTTTAAACTTTAAAGATGTTTTTTTTTACAGATTTAATCATATACCATATTGATGTTTTTGGAGCATTTTAAAACAGTTCATGTCGATTCTTTTGTTTCTTCAACCCAATCTTTACCATATCTTTAGCATAATATAACTAGACTTGATTTTTACCCAATTTTTACCATATATATATATCATATATCCCATCAAATATCCCTACTATGGTTGGCTATAAATCCCATATATTATGGAAAATCAACTATACTTATCATGGGAAAACTCACTATAAATGGTGATTTTCCATAGTAATGTAACAAATTACCAGAGGGTATATCCCATTAAATCCCATTAAATCCCATTAAATCCCATTAAATCCCATTAAACCACCATTTTCCTATGGTAAACCACCACTTATCTTTACCATATTTTTTCCTGTGCCGTTGTTACAACGAGGCCCATCAAGGTGCGGCCCTGCTGCGCAAGCGTTGCCTGACGCTGCGCCGGAACCGCCGAGCCATGCCGGGGGGCCTCTGGGGATACCTTTCAGGAAACCTTCATACATATATGTATATGTATATGTATATATGTATGTATATATATATATATGTATATGTGCACTTAGAATGAAAAATGTCACCATCACAATTTGTCGCATGGAATTCGGAGTTAGTAATGCATATATAATGTAGACAAAAAATGGCAAAAAATGTATGTCTACTATCGACTGTCGCCATGTCTTGAACAGGCTGCGGAAATTCTTGCTCACCAATTTCGTTGCAGTGCGCCTTAGGCTTTGCCTTTGCCTCCTACCCATGATCTTCAACATACTCGGCTGGGGGACCCACTTGGCAAACGCTGGAAAGATGTAAAAAAAATACTCACATACATGTATACATACACACGCTGACCCATGAACAATATATGTATATATATATAATTATACATAGTTACATATACATAGACATGTACACACCCATGGCAACTTATGGCATGCATTTATACGAACATTGCCCAACAGCATGGACTTTGGATTGGGTGCAAACTCTTGAATAACAACTTTCATTCGAAACCTGAGTAGACATGGCCAGACCCACAGATGTATGTCCTTAGGTTGTTTCATCATCCTTGTGAGGTATATCCCTATACCCCGATTCCAGGTCAGGTACATCCCTGGTTTTGGTCTTCGGATGATGCCAATCAACATATCTGGCTGGATGGCCCATCACCCTGGTAACCTGCTGAACATAGCAAGAGGTGAACCATGATAAAGAACCCAACGAATTTCGGCGGGCCAAAACCATGGTTTCAACAATGTGTCAACGGTACTTTTCCCAGCGTTTTTCCCCTTAAATCCATCGAATCGATCAAATCAGTGGGAATTTCAGGATCCTAAAATGGAGGTACTGTACCATATAAATGGGAATATTTTATGGGATTTTAATGGGATATGAATGGGATTTAATGGGATTTAATGGGAACTTCCCATATTTTCTGGGGATATCCCCTTCCAAATCCATCCGTTTTGAAAACGCCGGAGGGATCGCCTCAATCGCCACCAGCTTCGAGCTGGATTCGCCGCCCTTGGAGATCTTCGGCACCAGCCAGGATCGAGCCATGGACCATGGGAAATCCATAGGAAATTCACAGAAAATCCATAGAAAATCGTGGAAATCATGGGAAATTCATAGAACATTTTGGTAAATCTACAGAAAGAATCAGAAAGATGTGGAACACCCATAAGGAAAGCTGTTTGGAAAATGATCTATGTTCAATGGTGGGGTTTTCACATCTATGTGAATGTTTAGAGGAGGGTACCTGTTAAAAAATGGGAAGTCGCATGCAATCAGCAGAAATGGATGGTGCTTGTCAGTGCTTGTAGATGTTTTTTTTTGACATTGCAGGTTTGATTGGGTTTACCACATTGCCCCTAATGTGTCTCGATTTACGGCCTTTAGTTGAGAATCATGATTCTCTTTGTTGATACAACCTCCTGGCGTAAGATGGCCACTTTGCTGGGCGCATACTTCCGAAATCTGGAGTTCTCCAACCGTTCCCAACCATTTGGGTTCGTCCCCAAACGGATCAAACGCGGGATACCCCCAAAACTGGAATATGTTATTTGGGAAAATCATGATATATGATGATTATCGAACGGATTTTGCCATGTTTTGCAATGTTTTGCCATGTTTTGCCATGTTTTGCCAATCATTTCCCCTGCATTTTGATGGGATTCTGCAACCTGAAGCTACCGGTCGCATCTGGTCGCCCCATCCAGACATGGAGCATCCAGGCCCTGAACCCCGAGCTGGCGAAGCAGCAAAAGCTCGGAAACTCAGCCACCGAAAGCTCCAGGTACAAAGCGGTCCATGGATCTACAGGCGGATTTTCCAGTGGCTACCAACGAGATTCCCAGGTCACGGATGAGGAAAATTCCCGCATTTTTGTTTTTAGTGATAGCAGAAAAAAATCCAGAAGAACCCAAACAAATCATCAACCAACAGGGGTTTGGCAGCCGCTGCTCATTGAACACTCCCAATCCTGAGCCAGCGACCGCGCCAACACCTGGAGGCCGTCTGTGGTTGTTGCCTTTGGTGCCTCAGGTCCGCAAGCCCAAGTCATCCCCCAATCCATGGTGTAGTTCATGGGAAACCCAATAATAAACCGCACTACTCTGATCTCCTTTTAAGGAGTTGGGGGCATTACACTCGTATTGTATAGAAAGCATAACCTAACAAATGGTTTATACTCCAGCTCATTACCACCATGTTTTGCATCCACACGATATCTAATTTTCGGATAGTTGTGGTGGGTGGATCTGTTTGAACATAAAGTATACCCAAATGTGATGGTTGATCACCATTTTACAATGGCCACAATTTGGGTATTCCCCATGGACAAAGCCATCATTTTATGGTATCTGACCTCTCGAGGCGGTGGGGCGGAGGCAGCTGCTGGGGTTTTGGGTGGCCAGTTTTGGTGTTTTGAAGGTCTCCTCGAAGGTTTACCAGCTTTGGGTTCGACTTTCTGAAAGTAGTTTCTTGGACTCAGAGTGGCTCGCAACTTTTTCTGGCGGAAACATGAGACTTGGATGGATGGTATATCGGTGCTTCTGATTCTAAGCATTCTACTTCGCCGAAGTTCTTTGAGATGTGTGACATATCCAAGACCCAAAGGGTGGCGGATGCTTGGAATTTGTTGCCCCCAGTCAAAACGTGGGGACGAATTTGATGAAACCCATAGGGATTGATACCCTCAACCCCGGAGGCGCTGATGAACGCAGGAGTAGGGCATCCCAAAATTGGCTGAGACTGCCTTGTGACCAGAGCGTCCAATGGGCCTGGTGGATTTGGGGCGGTGAGTTGAGGCTTCCCCTTCAAGAATTTCCAAGATCTCAGGTACTGGTGCCACTCCCATTTTTGGTTTGTAACTTTTATTTATGACCCGCATCCAGCATGTACTTCCAATGTTCATCGCACTGTAGTTCCCAAGTGCCAACTCTTGGACAACACATCATATGTTGGTTAGTATCTCACAACATATCCCCAAGACATCCCCATCACGGTTGGCTTATATCTCCAAACAGCATATTTTGCGGCTAAATATGTCAGTTGTTGAACCTGTGCAGCTTCAGCCAATTTGTGATTGATCTCCCCTGGCATTCTTGGCCCAATATCCCTCTTCTGTCACTAGGAATTCCTTCTGCCATGTGATTTGCCAGACTGGCAATCGAATCGCTACGCGGTGCAAAACATCGAGATTTGTCTTGGTGCGCAACAGTTGTGACCTGTTTCCTTGGTGATATAGATTCACTGGCTTTTGGATACGGCATTCCAATATTCACTTGAGCATATCCTGATATCAAAGATCATCAGAACCTGCTGAGTGCTACCAACATTGGTAGCGGAGCCCAGCTCCGACCGGACTGGGCTCCCGCTGACTGGTGTGGTGACTTTCACCCTTTTTCCTTGACTACCAGATCACTACGTAGCTTGTACAATTTCTGTGATACTGGCCGAACCTTTTTTTGCTTGTGCAGTCACCAGAGGTCCTGAGCATTTTGCCAGGCCATTTCTTGCGACAGTCACCGGAGGTCCTGAGCACTTTGCCAGGCCATTTGGAAGGATGACGAGTGTGGACAAGAAGGAGCAGATCGTGACATGGAACGGAGATCCTGTTCACTGGCAGGAATATGTGAAACGTGTGAGATTGCAGTATGAGAAGACGGAATGGAGAAAACGTGGTTTGTTGGGAGCAGAACTTGCGAGCCGCTTGACAGGCCGAGCTTGGGATGTCGCGTCAGCTGAGCTCAACCATGATAAGCTTCAGCGACCTGATGGAGCAGCTTATCTGTTGCACTTCCTGGAGGAACGTTTGTGCAAAGCCCCAATTCCTGACACTGGCCAACGCTTAGAGGAATTCTTCATGAAACTGAGAAGAACCCCAGGGTCCTCGATGGCGGAGTGGGCAGCTCAACTACGTGAATCCTACCGTCGACTGCAACGTGCGATGGCACGACAGCGCAAAGACCAAGCAGACCGTTTTGGTTCTCCTGGTGAAAAGACTCCGAAGTCTCCGTCTCACAAGAGCCATGGATCTTCTTCTCCACAGCGAAAGTCAGATGCTACAACTCCTGCTAGATCTGCGGCCAGATCGACTTTTGGTTTTCAGGAACCAGCAGCGGGTGCCACAGAACCTGAAGAGCCTCAAGATCCAGGTCGTCCTGATCCTACTGATGGGGGCTATGACGCCGTGCCACAGTCGGAGACAGCCTCCAACCCTGGTCATGGATATGGTGGCAATCGTTGGACTGATGAGCAGTGGACTGAGTGGTATGCTGAGCGGGATCGCAGGTGGCGTCACTGGTATGATCCTTCAGAAAAGGAGTATGATTTTCCCCAAGAACCCGAACAAGATACTATACAGTGGGATCAGTTTGGGTATGATGATGTTGATATACTCCCCGAAGAAATATTAGGATGGTTACTTTTGAGACGTAGTGGCCTACCAGCTAGCGCACGTTTGTCAGTGCTGTCATCAATTGGCAACAAGCTGGACTTGGGCACTATGGAGAGAGCCATGAGAGATCAAGAAGAAGAACTACTTCTTGCAGAAGCCCAACGAAGCCGTGGTGACTTGCAGAGGCCTCGCCGTTCTTTTTGGGTTGAACAAGATTCTCAGTGGGGTTTGCTAGGTGAAGAAGTTCAAGATGATTTGGAAGAGTCTCCAATTTGCTGGATAGGTGATCGTTTGCCCCCAGAAGTATATCCTAGAGAAGAACATGAGATGGCATGGAGTACGTGGCTTCCTGACGGTCACGAGATGCACTGGGACTGGTTTGAGGATGATTTTTATGCTACTGATGCGGATGGATGCTACTGGTCCTGGGCTGATACCAAATCATGGCTAGACCTGGAGGACTATTTGCAGTCCAATCCCAGTGATGGCCAACAGACCCAGGAGATTTCTCCACTTTCCATGACCGTGTGCGAACCTTCAAGGAAAGTCGCCTCCTCAACAATGCGAAGCAGTTGTCAAGGGGTTACTATCCCATGCAGATGTTCAAAGGAAAAGGCAAAGGTAAGAACAAGTCTAAGGGCAAAGGCAAGTCACCTAGCAAACATAGCTCGACGTCCTCTTCTAGTCATGCAGTCTTGGCTTCGTTTCAAAAAGGGTCTGGACCACAAACACCGGGTAGTCCTTCCTACAAGGGTTGTTTCATTTGCGGTGGCATGGATCATGATTTCCGTGGATGTCCTAAACGCGAAAACAAACCTACTTCCTCTTCTATGTCCTCTACCAGAACCAATTTCTTTGTGGGTAGGTCAGTTCTCATGGTAACTGGTGTTGAAGAATGTTCAGATGGTGATGAAGTAGATCCTGATATGGGAGAAGTTCTAGCGACCGTTGCTCTACAACATCCTGGACATGCGGTCATAGACACCGGTGCTACGGAGACCATCGCCTCCCTGGAGGCACTGGAAGAAGTGATGCAGATGCGGGCTGCCAAGTTTGGACCTGAGGAAATCACGGTTCACCAGCGTCATAAGAAGTTTCGCTTTGGCAATGGGCAAGAGCAGAGAGCAGCTTCCTTTGTCGAACTTCCTCAATTTCTAGCCGGCAGTGGTGTGAAGTTGGGTGTGCACACATTGGATGCACCAGGTGTTCCTCTGTTGTTGTCTGTGAAAACCTTACAGAGCCTGAAGGCAGTGATAGATGTAGATGAAGGCATGATTTGTTTCACAGCTGTCCGTGCAGAACACTGGTTGCCCCTGAAGAGAGGACCAAATGGTCATCTGTTGTTAGACCTGACAACGGATTGGTACTCTTCTGAAGCTGGTGCAGATGGCTATGTGCAGTCCCAGAATTCTCACTCTCCGTCCCAATTGACGTATAAGGATGCAGCAGCTTCAGACGTGTCATTGGTTGAGCAGGCAAAGGTAGATGAGGTTTTCAGTGCTGAAAGACATGACCAACATGGAGCATGCGGTGAAGGTATGCATGAGAAGGTTGAGCAGGTTCATGAAGTTGAAGGTGTAGTCAAAGATGTATGCGGTGATCTTCAGAGTCGTCCTGAATCTGCAGATACCTCCTCTCCCAATGCAAACTCAGGCTCAAGCATGCTTCGCGGACTTCCCGTCCTTGCTGCAATAGCTGTTGCGACAACTTCCTCTCCTACCTGGAATGGCTCAATCCACCGAGAAGAGCCCCGAGACCGTGGAGACCTCTGTCCCAAAGGCCAAGGCCAAGACTCGTGGGCGTGCCTCCACTCGCATCCCAACTCCCGAGAAGTACGACATGTCGAGGGCAGAAGGCCCGGATGCGAGGGATGGGAGGGCCCAAGGTTGCCCCTGCTGGGGCAATCATGTCAGCATGCCGGAGGGCCGGGGCAGTCTGAGCGGGCGCAACGCCCATGGTATGTGGAAAGTCTGCAGCAAGTGCAGGCTCAGGATCCAATATGTGCCGGCATATGGTGCGACCGGAGCTCACCGACAAGCCGGACCTCTGGCACCAGACGCCTGGCACCAGACGCCGCCACGGCCTTGGAGCGTGTTGGAAAGACAATCGAGAACGATGTGAAGGCCAGGGAGAATCTCAACTCCAAGATGGCGAGCACCATCGGTGCAGAGGAGTCACTGAAGAACAAGCTGAAGAAGCTGGAAGCAGATCGCCTGAAGGCCACCTCCTCGGCCCCAGTCCGACCGAAGGCCTCGGCCGATCAGACTCAGGTGGTGACCGAGACTTCCAAGAAAGCGGCCAAGAGGGAGAATGCCACCACTGCGGAGGAGGCGGAGGCCAAACCCTCCGAGTGGATAGAAGTGAAGTCGGACTAGAAGGACATCAAGGTGAAATCAGAACTGGTTTCTTGACGGAAGATCAAAAAGGCATTCTTCAGTCCAGAGCTGAGGACTACATCAATGCCGCCAACGAAGTTATGGAAGAGTTCTTTGGCAAGAGCAGCGATGTGGAGTTGATGGAAGTTTGTTGTCCGACGGACAGCAGACTGGTGGAGACCTTCTTGAACAAAGGCCGGAGTGCTATTCGCATTGGTCTTCCTGCCATCGACCTCAGCAAAAAGAAAGGTCTTGAGGAGCTTTTGCGTATGATCGAGAAACACCGTCCTGCTGTCCTTTGGTTTTCACTTCCTTGTGGCCCATACTCACCCATTCAAGAGCTCTTCAACGAGAACACTCCTGAGAAACTACAGCAGAGCGAGCTGAGAAAGGCTAGGTCACGGAGACTTATGGCCAATGGTATAACAGCTGCTCGACGTCAAGTGAGTCTTGGTGGAGAGATTGGATGGGAGTGGCCTCGAGACAATCGAGGTTGGAATGTGGCGACAGTGCGTGTGTTTTTCAATGAGTTGCTTGCGAAGGGCATGTGTCATGAGGCAAAGCTGGATGGTTGTGCCTATGGTCTGAAGAATAGCGATGGTTTCTTTTTGCGAAAACCTTGGAAGGTGAAAACAACATCGCCGACCCTGGCAGCTGCACTTCAGCGAGCATGCCCTGGCAATCATGAACACAGAGAATGTTTAGGCGGCAAAACAGCTAGAGATTCAGGTTTTTATCCACAAGCTCTGTGTGATACAATCCAGAAGACTGTGCGAGAAATGGTGAACACTAAGGTGGAGAATGTTTTCCCCGTCTTTGATGCGCAGCCTTTGCAGATGGAAAAGAAACCTGAATTGCCTGAACCTTTGACTGCCAATGAGAGAAAGGAAGCAGAGAAGCTGCTGAGCAAGCTTCATCGAAGAACTGGACACCCATCCAATTCAGCTCTGGCTAGCACTCTTCGACACCGAGGAGCACACTATGAGGTAGTCGAGATGGCAAAACGACACCAGTGCCCTGAGTGTCAAGAGCTGAGAATGGCCCCGCTTGATCCAAATGTTGCATTACAAAGATCGGAAACTTTGTGGGAGACTGTGGTAATGGACAACGCGGAGTTCCCCATTGACAATAAGGTTATCCATTGCATGATCATGATGGATGAGGCATCACGGCTTGTTTGTCCTCATCTCTTGTTTGAGGTGCCCAAGGGTGAAAGCAGAAACGCCACAGGACCTGAGGTTGTGAAAGGCCTGCAAGATACGTGGGTGCGACACTATGGATTGCCCGGAATGGTGCGAATGGATCCCGAGGGAGCTTTTAGATCTCATGAGTTGGGCCAATGGGGAGAAGAACGAGGTGTTCAATTGCTGCCTTGCGCAGCAGAGGCGCATGGGCAGATAGGCCTGGTAGAACGAGCTATTCAGACCATCAAAAACACCACTCGCCAGTTGGTCCAAGGTCAAGATGTTTCTCCTTGGGATGCAATTCAACAAGCCTGTCTTTCTCACAATGAACTTGCTCGAGTAGAAGGTTTTTCTCCTTTTCAATGGGCATTTGGAAAGCAGCCTACCAGTCAAGGGCACATGCATGATCGTGGACATGATCTTCCATTTTTGACTTCATCTGCGGTGGCCGGCAGTAGCATGGCAGCCAATCTTCGTCTTCGAGTGCAGGCGCAGCAAACCTTTTTGAGACAGCAAGCCATGGAGCAAGTTTCCCGAGCCTTGAATATCAAAACGAGACGGGCTCAAACCTTTGTTCCTGGTGATCTCATTTTTTTCAAGAGAGTGAAGCCTCCTGCACAGCCTGCAGCTGCTGCGCGGATGTCCCACAAATTGTGGAGGTGGTATGGTCCTGGGCGCGTCCTTGCAACAGAAACCAGAACAGATGGAGTAGGCGAAGTGAGAAAACCTTCAAATGTCATATGGATAGTGAGTCATGGCCGTTTGAAAAGATGTTCTCCAGAGCAGTTGAGACATGCTTCAGAACGTGAAAGATTGCTGGCAGAGGGCAATGAGTCGCCAGCAACGACATGGACTTTTCACTCCATTGCTCAAACTCTTTTCAAGGGAGAGTACGAGATTTTGGATCAGCATGTTTTCCCTGAGGACTCTGAAGCAGTTGCAGCACCTCGAGCACCTCGCAGGGCTCGTTCTCTGAGCAGATCTCGTGCTCGTTCCTTGAGCCGTTCAGTAGCCAGGAGAGTTGACCAGCCAAAGATGGCAAGAACTGAAAAGACCCCTCAAAATTTGCGAAACCCGAGTGACGGCGGTGGGGCACGCCAAGAGGTCACCGAGGAAAACAAGACCCTTCAAGATTTGTATGATGAGACTTCTGGCGGTGGAAGGGCACACCAAAGAGCCAGAGTCAAGAACGATCAAAAAGAACAAAAAGAAACAAAAGGGTTACCAATAGGAGGTAGATCTAGTTCAAGTCAGTCTGGTCCTGGTCCGTCGGTGTCTCATAGCGAAACCCAAAGTGGCGACCGCTCCCAAGGGTTGAACTTAGGAAGATACCTTGATGATCCCATGTATGCGCCCGCGCCTTCTGCAGTGACGAGAGATCGTCCAACTTCTGAGCTTTTCCAGCAGCCGCTTTTCAAGAAGCAGCGCATGGATCTATATGGAAATGATGATGGAGATGAGTGGTTCATTGGCCACACTACCTCTTCCGAGACTCATACTCTGGGAAGTGATCGGCTGGTGTGCACTTTTGACCTGGGCCTTCCAGAGCGTCAGTCGGATTGGCGGAGACTGAGACGCTCACCTGAGGCCTACTATGTGAAAAAGGTCAGAAACACAGAGATCAAATGGCATCTCCTTTCTCCAGAAGAGAAGCTCGAATTTGAAGAGGCGAAGCGTGCAGAAGTGAAGCAATGGCTGACGGCACAAGCGGTGAAGCGAGTGCAGGGCTTCATCCCCAAGAAGCGCATCATTTCAATGCGCTGGGTGCTCACCAGAAAAGAGAGCGGTGCAGCAAAAGGAAGAATTGTTTTGATCGGCTATCAAGACCCCGACCTCTCAACTATAGAATCATCAGCACCTACCATGTCCAGAAGGACTAGACAGGTGGCATTGCAGATGTCCTCGGTGCGTCGATGGAGGGTGTTGAAGGCAGACGTCAAAGCTGCCTTTTTGCAGGGCCATGCAACAGAAGCTGATCGACAACTCTATGCCATGCCAGTGAAGGAGCTGGCTCAGGCCATGAATCTCCAGGACAATGAAGCAGTGCAGGTGATTCGATCATGTTATGGTCTAGTTACCGCGCCAGCGTCATGGTTTTCCACCATCCGTGCTACTCTGGCTGAGCTGAATTTTCATCAATGCAAAACAGACCCTTGCATGTGGACTTATCACTCAAAAGTCCCAGGTAAAGGTGTGATCGGCTATATCTGTGCTCATGTTGATGATTTTCTGATCAGTGGATGCGAAGAAACGGATGAGTGGGTTGCTGTTTTGGAGCAGTTTTATGCCAAGTTCCGCTGGTCACCTTGGGAATTTTCCACCTTCAGTCACTGTGGAGTGATGATTCGTGAAGAAAGTGATTTTTCTTTCAACCTGGACCATTCAAGCTTTTGCGAGAGCATTGATCAGGTTGAATTCCAGTCACGACCGGATCATGAACTGCTGACTGGTGAGGAGCTGACGCAGCTGCGTGGCGCGTTGGGTGCCCTCCAATGGAGAGCGCATCAGACCGCTCCACATTTGAGCGCAAGGCTGGGACAGTTGCAAAGTGAAATTTCCAAAGCCACGGTTGGCACAGCAAAATCAACCAATAGACTCATCAGGGAGTGTTTTAACAGTCGGCATCTTTCCACTCGCATTAATCAGTTGCATGTTGAAGATCCCACCAAAGTAGTGTTTGTAGCTTGGTCCGACGCTGCCTTAGCCAATCGGATCGATCTTGGAAGTACTGGTGGTTTCCTTGTCGCTGCGGCAAGCCCTGAAATTTTGAAAGGGGAAAGAGCGCCTCTTTCTTTCATGGCATGGCGTTCCAGCAAATTGCAACGAAAAGCACGTTCCTCACTTGCGGCAGAGGCTCAGGCGTTAGCCGAAGCCGAGCAGGAACTAATGTTCACACGTCTTGCATGGGCTGAACTGTGCGGCATACCGGTTGATTTAAAACGACCAGAGGATGCCATCTCTCAGATTTCCGGCACAGTCGTAATTGACGCAAAGTCGGTGTACGACATCTTGAAGAAACGTACACTTAATTCGGCAGCTTTTGGCTTGAAAGACAAACATGTGAGTCTCGAAATCATGTGTCTGATGGAGTCAATTGAAAAGCTGAAGACTGAGACTCGGTGGGTGCACTCGGATGCACAGTTGGCCGATGCACTCACAAAGCCGCTGCCTCCTGGTGTTTTGCATAAGGTCTTAGCTGAAGGAAAATGGACACTTCAGTATGACCCCAATTTCACTAGTGCAAAGAAGTTGAAGGCCAAGAAATCCGTGTTCGATCAAGATTTTAGGGGCGTGTCAGTTGTTGAACCTGTGCAGCTTCAGCCAATTTGTGATTGATCTCCCCTGGCATTCTTGGCCCAATATCCCTCTTCTGTCACTAGGAATTCCTTCTGCCATGTGATTTGCCAGACTGGCAATCGAATCGCTACGCGGTGCAAAACATCGAGATTTGTCTTGGTGCGCAACAGTTGTGACCTGTTTCCTTGGTGATATAGATTCACTGGCTTTTGGATACGGCATTCCAATATTCACTTGAGCATATCCTGATATCAAAGATCATCAGAACCTGCTGAGTGCTACCAACAAAATAACCCACACCTTACAACTGTCAAAGATTGTTTTGATATGTTTTGATACGTTTTGATGAATTATAATTCCTTCCTTCCCCAAAAATACTGGTCATTATTACAAATAATACATCGCTAAAAACCTTGGTTTAGTTTTGCTCATTTGGTCGGGGGATGGGATTCCAATCCAACAAATCTAAAGCGGCACCATTTATCATCTATTGACACATGATTTTCCCATTGAAAAGCATGGCGGAAATGGACATCAGGAAATCATCTGAACTGATTGCTGGTTTCAATATAGTTTCAACCTATTTTTCTGGATAATTTATGATAATTTCCCCCATTGTTTTCGGTAAACCCTCCCCCCCGTTGGGGTTTCTGTCCCTGCGGCGAAGCCCGAGGTGCAGGCGGCGCTCTGGGAGGTTCAGCCTCTCTCGGTGAACAGCAACTCATTGCGCGCCACCAGTCGCAGGTCTCCTGTTGCTGGACTGGACCCTCTGGTCATTTAACATAGCTACCCTCTGGTAAACTAACATAGCTATGGAAAATCACCATTTTTAACGGGAAAACTCACTATAAATGGCCATTTTCAGTAGCTATGTTAAATTACCAGAAGGTAGCTATATATATATATATACATAAAGCTATGGAATGTAGTATGGTACATTCAACATTTCCAATAGGATTTGCATGGAATGTATGGAACTGGAAATGAAAACATGCTGCAAATGATGGATTCTATCATTTGTGTTGGGAATGTATATCATATTTCTGGATTAGTATTCAGAATCAAATGATGTTGAAATGTCAAGGAGAAAGGCAACGTGGTTGCCATTCTCAGCCTCCAGCATTCAAAGTTTGTTTTCTCCACAGTTTCACCGAACTTTTTTTTTCTATTTTTGTCACTTTGCTCCTGTAAACATAGCATCAATACCCGCAAAGGTATGTATATCCCTACAGTGACATACGTATATATAATTATATGTATATATTATAACACGTATATATATATATTATAACATATATATATATTATAACATACATATATATACATTATATATATATAATAATATATATATATATATATCATATTATATATATAGATAATACACATAACACACATACACACACATATATATATATACTTATATACATATATTATTATATATGTACGTATGTTTGTAGTTTGTAGGATTCCCGAGTCCCCAAATTTTGTACACTTGGAAGGAACCTCTCGGAGTCTCTGATCATTGACGCCAATGTCTTGGGCTGGGAGACCAAGCAAGGCCGAGGAGATTGGTCAGCCAATGCAGAATACGTCAATCATGTGGGTAAAACAATAATCACTGGATTGGTTTAAGGGAAAATCTACAGGAAACCATAGATTTTCCCATTAAATATGGGGCTTTCCTGTAAATTTTCCCTTAAACCAATCCATTGAAATAAGCCATCCCCCAAATCACCATTTTTTATAGGTGGTATGTTTACGGGCAAACCCCTCAGTTGGCCCGCGCCGACGCCGACGACATGTCCGAACATTCAAAAACACTGTGTTTTGTGGGACAAAATGCACATGTCCATGATCATGGCTTTCATCTTGCAACGCACAGCTTAGCTACCTGTGCGTTGAATGTTACAACAACAACATCATCATCCCAATTGAATGTAAGGTTTAACAGTGGTGGGAATTTATATTCCTAATACCCTTCTTTATCTTCCCAATTGAATGTAAAGTTTAACGGGGGTGGGAATTTATATTCCTAATACCAATGTTGATCTTCCCACTTGAATGTAAAGTTTAACGGGGGTGGGAATTTACATTCCTAATCCCCTTGTTGATCTTCCCAATTGAATGTAAAGTTTAACGGGGGCGAGAATTTATATTCCTAATACCCTTGTTGATCTTCCCAATTGAATGTAAACTTTAACGGGGGTGGGAATTTATATTCCTTCAAAATCCCTAAGAAGTTGTGTGGGGGAACTGGGGGGTTTGCGCGTATGTTTACCATTCCCAAATGGGTGGTGTTACAACCGGCTGGAATAGAGCCCAGCAAATGGCAGCGTGTAGTTGTGCCCAGGATGATGCGGTGCTGAGGTGGAAAAAGTGATCCAAATGAACCTGAAATGGACATGAGCAAGTACAAGGACCCTGATGGGAGGTGACTGTTCAGCCAAATTCCAAACACTGAAATGAACGTTGAGTTTTACTCTAGACTGACATGTTTGGATATGTTTGGATCGCAATTCATTTAGGTATCCGTCAAGATGGTACGCCCCTACTTGCTAGCCCTAGCATGGATACTCTTGCTTCGACGCCCATTGGCCTCCCATTTGATGGACAAAATGGGAGGTTCTTAGCCTCTATGGACGAAATGGGACGTTCTTAGCCTCGTTTACTAGTTTCCATAGACTTAACGTAGCTTAATGTAGTTTCCATGCTCCCAGGAATCGCCCCCGTCATGGATACTACATCCCCTGGGAAATGGCCAGGAGATGAAACAGAAGGGCGCCCCAGAGTTTGTGATTCGCAAGGTCATGGAGAAGGCACAAGATGGCTATGGAGGGCTTCTACTGACAGTGCTGATTGACTGGGGTCTGGTGTACCCTCTGGTAATTTAACATAGCTATTGAAAATGGCCATTTATAGTGAGTTTTCCCATTAAAAATGGTGATTTTCCATAGTTATGTTAGTTTACCAGAGGGTAAACCAATTTTGCTTTCCAAAAGGGACGTTGGATTTTACTTCTGATACCAGCGCATCGCATCGCAGCTGGTGGTTCTTCGCATGCCTATTGGTTTTTAGTGGAGTTGGGTCTGGGATACTTGTGACATCAGCCCTTCTAGTGTAACGACAGCAAGATTGGCAAAAACCATTTGGTGACATGGCAGTGGGTCAAAACCCTGGTACCTAGTGAACCCCAAAATAGCTGGTAAATGGATGTTCATCCCACTAAAAATGTATCTATAGGTATTGACCCATACCCACATTTATATCCAACAACAGCTCCATTCTCCTTGGTACCTCCTTGAGTTCCATGTCCCCATTGACAGGATGGAGCGGGGACACCCGGGGGCCGCGACGGACCGGGGGGGCAGATGGCACCAATGTGGGGCAAAGTTCAAGATGTTCAAGGCTAAGCTACCCAGGAGTTCATTTCAAGGATGTTCATCAGCCTCATCAACGTGCCAGAGTTTTGAAAGATATCCATATCAAGTTCAGGGCTTCAGTGAACATTTTCTGATACAGATGAGAGTCTTGACTTTACACATACTTCCACTGTAGACTCAAAAAGATCATTTGGACATATTTGGACTTTGTTTCAACATTTGTTTCCGTACCTATATATATATATGTATATATATATGTATATACATATATATATATATATGTATATATATATATGTAGATATACATAGAATTATATACATACACAATTGTATACATACACAATTATATACACATGCCAACCACATCTTGGTCTTGGTGTTTTCATTTCTAAAGTTGTCTTCCCATGTCATCCCCAAAGACGGCATGATCATCCCCAAGTTGGCGCGTACGTTGGCGCGTACCCAGCAGGTTCCAACTGCTGTAAGTGAACGCCTGGAACTCAGGGGGGTTGCCTGAGCTGGGGGTCTTACCAATGACTGTTCAAATGTCATATATAACTAGTTTATATTGGTTTGGTAGTTTGGTGATTACTATATAAGTAGAAGGATCGCCCAAGTAGGGCACACAGCAACTTCTCTATCCTAGAGTTTTGATCAACTCGGCTCGTCACACTATTCCTCCAGACAAAGTCATAAATCATTGGATATACTGATATACCTGTACCGGTTATGATCTTCCTGCATGGCTTAAACCTGTGAAGCTGAGGTTTCATGTCAGGTGCTGCACCGGCCACAGGTCAGGCTCTCAATCCAAGAAAAGTGAATGTATTGAAAAGAACATGCAGCTACAGTGAAAAACGTCAGAATTTGGGGAAAGGAAGAAACAAACAAAAACTGGATGTAGACTGGCAAGAACCGGTGTGCCGAAACTTGGGAATTGGGTACCTTCCCCCCAAGTCATTTGCCAGGGTCTATTTTGGGAGTCAGGTTCTTTTTCGACGGTCCCAGGGACACCAAGTCCCCAACAGAATCCATGTACTCAAGTCACGGAAATCCCATTATTTTGGATGGTCTATTTGGCTGAAAATGGAGGTACTTGCCCCCAAGTCCAAGGGTCAATCAGCCACCTGGCCGAGGCAGTTCAGAGAGAAGCCTCACTGGAAGGTTCGCTGTTCAACCGGGGGTTTTTTCAGCAAGATTGGGGGCCCCACACCTTGTTTTGTTCTGAATGCACTGTTTTTGAGCTGGAAACCCAAGTCATCCCACCTGGTTCAACCTGTCCGTTTGATGGTCCAATCGAAATTATTGGACCCCAATGTTGCGGTAAGATCGCCACCATTTGCGCACTTCAATCTGCATTGTTGAGAGGTCGATTGTGCTAAAAATTGTTGGACTCCAACTTTCTGTTGGTGAAATCTCCATTTTGATGAACTGAGTGCGTCTGAACGTGGTCTGGTGTATACCCACGAAATAGCGATTTATGAATAGTTAATTATAGGG